TTCGCACAATAGCCATTGCATCTTGAAATTGCTGAACCATATCACGGGGCCCACCGTGAAAAGAAGATGGTAATACAATCCGCGTGCCAATATTGCTTGCTGCCATATCATCAGCTACAGCATCGACCACCCCCTGGTAAAGGTCTGCTCGTAGTTGTGCTTGATTCGCACGTATAAATCTAAGTCGTGAACTCTCTATTGCAACCCATATATCGACCAAATATTGCTGGAATAGTCTTCCTCCACGAAGTATGAGACTATTCTCGTTCTGTCTTTGGTGAATCTGATAAGAATAATATTCAAGTTGGCTCATTTTAGTATGTCTTCTGTTTCCGCTTTGATTCAAGGTTAATCCTATACTATAACCATCTTCACCATATGGGAAAAGAAGAACATAATGCAATGGAGCGTAAAGACAGCTAGTGTCCTTAATTGTTTGAAATACATCATAAGCTCCTTGTTCAGGCTGCTTAAGATATACAATTAAGCTTCTGCTTTTCTCCAAAGCAAGATCGTTTCCTGGAATAATAGCAGCAACCTCATCTGCTGTAGGAACATTATATCTACGTTTATCATAACCACGTTCTTCCACCAGCTTTAACCGTGCAGAATGAAAGTAATCTATCGAATTTAGAATGGAAATCATTAAGATTGTACTAACCTGAGTCTTGTAAGGTCTCACGTTCCATGTATTCGATTCCAATCTGTCTAAAACGTTGCGCATAAGGGTTAACATGTAAAAGAACCTGGCGTAACATGTTAAGAATTTCCGGAGACAGGCTAGAGAATGTGCCTGGATTCCCGAAGGTAGCCCTCGTATAATCCTTCGTACCATCTAGAAAATAAACTTGTGAGAAATTTGGCTGAGATGTACCGGATGGTATTAAATTCCCAATTCGATGGCGTATTTCTCCAGAAACCCGGAAAGTGTAAACTCCTCCACCTTGAGAGAAGGTAACACTATTATCCGGCGTACACTTCATAGAGGCAAATGCTAAAGCATTATTATATCCTCTTATCATTGAACGAAATGAACGTCCAACTGTATCATTTTGAGTAAATAAATTAAGAAGCTCCTCTGGTGGATCCTTCATAACTGGGAGTTGAATCTATAAGAGCGTTAGTTTAATTTTTGAAGGTGTAAGAATGTACTTTATTTCCACGGCAACATCGGTTACCCTGAAACTGTAATTCAAACTGTAAATCAATGTTCTTCCCTTCTTCCTTAAATAATAATGCATTGCAATGAATACATTTTTGGTTCATTGTACCTATATCCAGTACGGTAATTCTTGGACGGTTAAATTGAAAAGCTCGAACCTCATCTTCTTCATATCCCTTTCTCGCTAGGAGATATTTAGAGAAAGAAGTGCGGCTATTTCTTGTTTGTTGTCTTCCGATCACTGAGAAAGACATTGAATAAAATCTGGTGAATAGTATCTTCTAACATTAAAAAAGAGATTAAAGGACAACAAAATCTGGTTTTCTTGGCATCTTCTATCCCCCAACATTTTAAAGCAAAACTAAACTTGTTTCAATGCGTTGCGTTTTTCTTTTCTGATCCTTGCCTGCTCTTTACCAACTGCGGCCTCTCGGCGTGTAAAAGACTCACGGACCTTTCTTCCTTTTCTGTTTCCCTGTGTTCCAAGAGCTTCCATAGCCTCTTCTTGACGCTTGAAATTAAGAGAATGACAAAATAAATCAAGAACATTTCTTTGTCCGAAAGAAACTGGTAGAACTTCATGTTCACAAATACGTCCAAAAAAAAACAGGCAATCAGTACGCTGAACCTCAACTTCAACGTTAGCCCCTGGTAAGTAAAGATTTCCATCTTTAAAAATTCCATAAGGAATAACGCAGTTAAAGATGGTCTTAGAGTCGTTCCAGTCCACATGGCTGTCCCCGCCCTTCTGGTCCATCTTTTGGTTAATTGCCACACCGTGCCAATTTCCTGCAACGGGTAAAGGATAACCTGACTTAGAACAATCATCTTTAAAGCGCTGAGTGCGAGTGAATTGTTCAGGGAACCCCACTTGCATCTTATCCGTAACATATTGAAAGAGCTCCTTGTTCGCTTCAAGCCATTCTTCTGCGCCTTTTCCCATATCTTTGCGGTACTCTGTAGAGAGTTGGAGCACTTTCATATGCAAACCCCAAACTGCATAATGCCGGTGGGCAAAATCACCCCGTCTTCCTTTCTTCTTCCTCTTTTGTGGTAAAAGGTTATCCGATTCCTCTAGTTTATTGATTAGAAACTCTGGAAGACGGAAACGATACCCAATTATAGTTTCATCTGAACCGACTATAAAGAGGGAACGATCATCGCCCTTTGGTAAAGATGTATAGACCTAAAATTTTTAGCAACAGATTAGCTTTAAATGGGATCGGAGATCATACAGAAATTGGCTCATGTATGTTAGGTAGCGGATTTCCCTCCCTCATCTGCACACGGGACCTTGCATGATCTCTAAGCTCAAGATATGAGACAGAGCATTTATGCACGATTGCATTCGACTTCTCCAAAATCCAGTCTTTTGCCTTATGGTAAACATACTGGGGAAATGGCATTGTGACAGTCGTAGGCATATTATCAACTGTAAAGGCGTGAACCCCTCCAGAAATATGTGCACGAAGGTGCTTAACTTCATCTAGAGTTTACTGTGTTAGCCGATATTCATATGTAACCAAATTGAAATAGATACCTTTAGAAGCGTACTGTGGCTTAAATGGAGGAATCTCCTTTATAATCCTTTTTTTTCCAGTCCATCCCATAGCCGACTCTGGATCTTCGTAGTCCATATCGTCAACGAAAGTTGGTGTATTAATGTCAGCGGAGGTAACATTGTATTTTGAAAGGATACTATCAATAGCTGTTGTCATCTTCTTAGCAAGATCCGTATCAGGCTTCCGAGTTCGTATAACATTCCCAATTGCTTTTGAGTTAGAAACATCTTTAACTTTTGAAGAACGGTTAGTAGATGTTGGAGTAAATGCCCTTGGAACTATATTCGCAATTGCCATACTGAGTTTATCGGCGATTAAAGCTTTGAACGCAGGTGTCTGGATCTGTGTTGATATAGCGGCACGGATTGTTGCTTTCGTTGGAAGATTCGACTTTCTCAGTTTCTTCGGAACGGCTTTAGCAGGTTGTACTTTTGCAACTTTCAATAAAACTTAAATCAATTAGAAACATTAAATCAAAGCCATAAAACTAAAACAAAACTTAATTACCGTTTTCCTCCTTCTTCATCTTCTTAGCAGGGATGAGAACGTTATCATCATCCTCAATCAAGATCGGATGCTTTCTGGAATCTCCCTCCTCCATAATGACAAAAGGTCTTTCCCGGGTTCCGGATCCAATAATGTCCAAAGAAGGTAGAACTGGAGAAGGTAGTGGGGAGTCGATAATAATCGGGGCAATAGAAGAAGACCCGATCAAAACAGGAGTTGGATTCGCAGTGTTGGAGTAAGGTGGTGGTGGCGAAGGGAACCTTTGAGTTGCGGAAGCGAACAAAGGCCCAGCTACTGGCAGGAGAGGAACTGGTGGTGATGCGGCTGGAGCTGGAGCTGAAGCTGGTGTTGGCACTGAAGTTTGCGTTGGAACTGGCGCTGGAGCTGGGGCTGGAGCTAGGGCTGGAGCTGGCGCTGAAGCTGTCGCTGGAGCTGTCACTGGAGCTGTTGCTGTCGCTGGAGCTGTTGCTGGAGCTGGAGCTGGGGCTGGAGCTTGGGCTGGCGCTGGAGCGAAAGCTATAAAAAAGTTAATATTAAAAGGCGACAAAAAAAATAATACCTTTTGTAATTATAGCAGCTGTCTGTCTGGCCTCCTCTGCCTCCAAATCTGCATAAAACTGGGAAACAGTTTCGACCTGCTCAACTAACTCCTCTCCCACTGGGTCTGGCGTGACAAAATCTGTAAGATCCCGTTCGAATCTTACCTTCCTCTTGTCCTTCCTAATGAGAGTGGCATCTGTGAGATCAATCTCACGATTGGCCGACATCTACCCATAGAAAAAAAAAACATTAGTATTTGTAATCATGATTGGGACAAAAGGCAAAGCAAGATAAATCAAGAGAAGAAACCATGTAGATTGTTCATATGGGTAACCCTGAGGCCTTACCCTCGGCCCTTGAGAGCAGATCATCTTCCAGACTACTATAAGGAGCCCTACTAACGGCGATACAAAAGCAACAAACAAAGACCGAACATAACAAAAATGTTGCAAAAGAAAAACTTACTCTGTACTGTCGAGTGAGATCTGTGACTGATGCTGGGGAGTTCAGTACTGGCACTGCTAACGCATTGAATAGGGGGGAGGGTAGGGGGGGTAACAGGTATTCTTATACTATCGGCATCCCACATAAACCCTAAACCCAAACTCACTCAATCTGCAGCATCTACCGTCACTCTGCGCAGCCCCGGCCGGAAACAACAGCTCCGCCCGCACCTATAGCCCCGTGTCGTCATTCCGTGCAACATCGGGCGGAAACAACAGCTCCGGCCCGCATCTGCAGGTCATTCCGTACAGCTCCGACCCAAAACAACAGTCCCGGCCCGTATCTGCAGCCCCATGTCGTCACGCCGTGCATCTGTAGCCCCATCTCGTCACTCTGTGCAGCTCCGGCCGGAAACAACAGATTCGGCCCACATCTGCAGCCCCCTACCGTCCTTGCATACTGCCCCCTCCCGTCGAATCCGAGTCGTTTGGGAGTATTCCGGGCGGCGAATGGGCGGGGGAGCCTAACAGTGAGTTAGAACGTCGAGCCCGAGTGGTTTGGGACGGGGAAACGTCGATTCCGAGTGGTTTGGGATGATGCCGGGCACGAATGCGTGGGGGGAACGTAGAATCCGAGTGGTTTGGAAGAATTCCGGGCGGGGGATGGGCGGGGGGGCCTAACAGTGAGTTAGAGCGTCGAGACCGAGTGGTTTGGGACGGGGGAACGTCGAATCCGAGTGGATTGGGAGAATTCCGGGAATTCCGGGCGGGGAATGGACGGGGGAGCCTAACAGTGAGTTAGAGCGTCAAGCCCGAGTGGTTTGGGACGGGGGAACGTCGAATCCGAGTGGTTTGGGAGAATTCCGGGCGGCGAATGGGCGGGGGAGCCTAACAGTGAGTTAGAACGTCGAGCCCGAGTGGATTGGGACGGGGGGAACGTCGAATCCGAGTGGTTTGGAGGTATTCCGGGCGGGGGGTGGGCGGGTGAGCCTAACAGTGAGTTACAGCGTCGAGCCCGAGTGGTTTGGGACGGGGGGAACGTCGAATCTGAGTGGTTTGGGATGATGCGGGCGCGAATGGGCCTAACAGTGAGTTAGAACGTCGAATCCGAGTGGTTTGGGACTGGGGGAACGTCGATTCCGAGTGGTTTGGAAGAATTCCGGGCGGGGGGTGGGCGGGGGAGCCTAACAGTGGGTTAGAGCGTCGAGACCGAGTGGTTTGGGACGGGGGAACGTCGAATCCGAGTGGTTTGGGATGATGCGGGCGCGAATGGGCGGGCAAGAACTGGCGGATCACGAACAAACGAAACGATGGGGTGCTTACGTAAGAAGTCGCTATTCACTTAAGTAGTAGAAGCTTCTGAAGCACCTGAAGCAATTGACAATGATCGATTGAGGGCTCCTCAAACATCCGAGCAGTATAATACGAGGAAGTACTTTGTAAGTAGGTGGACAATCGATTGACCCAAGCAGCTTGCTAGAGTGATGACGAGTTTTAGGGGCGTGATTGTTGTGTCCGAAACAATATCTCCTATTTGCAGTTAGAAGATTTATCTAATGAGGTAGTTAACCTTAACTCATACAAATTATCTTAGCAGGAAAGTGTATGCCGCTCTCGAGAGTTATACCTGGTTGAATCACTTTCATTCGACTGGAACGTTGTTCGTGTTTCAACGTTGGGTCAAACTTTGGTGGTTCGGCTAACTACGACGGGGGCACCGATGGCGTTAGACTAGCCCATTGTCACGTTCTCGCTAACTACCCTTTTGGGTAACACATCTCAACGACCACCTGCCAGTGTATTTAGGTAGTTTTACTTACTTTGTACTTAGCACAGCCAGGAAACCGCAAAGAGAAAGAATAAGTACCTAGGTAGGTACAATTGATCAAAATCCTGACTGTCTTATGGGCAAGCTTGCGCAATTGCGTCGGTAAAATAGCCTCATCTCCAGACTCCATCTTAAGAAGAGACTGGGGATGAGGCTATCACGGGTAGAGATCTAAAGATGTTACTTCGTCGGAGGTTGCTCAGACGAGGCGTAGGCCACGTACGTGCACAAGCGTTGTTCAGCAGAAATTTCGACTGGGTTAAAACGTTACCTCGGAGAAGTTTAAACTTGGCACTTAGTAAGGGAATCATAGATCTCATCGAACTCTACAAACCAGCCTTAAGCTTCTCAAACAACCTTCTCAATCATCACTGTTCTTCTTATATTCACAAACTTCAACACCAGCCATGATTGGGCCTCACTTTTTGATCTCTCCTCCTTCTACATCCGAAGTATTGCCTTCTCTCAAGCAAGAGAGATTTCATCCAAGCCTGAGAGTCTCGCCAGTCTGGAATTTCGCCCCGGCAAGTCTCAAACTTTCACAGGGCCAAATCTTCACTCTGTATCACGAATCGCACGATATTTTCTCCAACTTTCGATATACACTCAGTACCATCGCTGGACAACAGGTACGGGAGGCTATTCAAGAGGCAGTCAAAAACATTATCGATAGCCCAACATACACAGCAGAGTTCAAGAAACTTCATGCTCGCAAGGATCGGTATGGATTGGACAATTTTCGAAATGGACTGGAGCTGCTGCTACGTAGAGCTGCTGGGCAGGAAGCTCTTGAGGATATTTTGAAGGCAAAGAATAGAATGATTATGGAAAACGGACGCAAGTTGGCAATCGCGGGCTGTAATCTTGGGGATCGGGAGACTCAAGCAAAGTCCATGGAACTGGATGTAGCCACAAAGTAGAAGCATCCTTGTGCATTTTATAGATTTTTCCCAAGCTTCGTGTAGTTACTCAAGTCGTTCCGTTAACATCGTAAAGGCGCTGCGCAAGAATCTGAAAGGAAAAATCCTCCATAAGATACGTTATCTCGGTCCGAATAAATTTCAAGTAAGTCATGAGACACTCGTCATCCATCATATTCAGCCTCTTCTCAGGGAGAGCGATGCTGGGATTTTGTATCTCCCTAAGTTCCTTCTCAAGACGTCCGTGCAGTAGGGATAGCATACTGCCGGGTCGAGGCGGTTCACACCTGTGTAATTTGTTGATCAAGCAATCGTCGAAGACTCTTGAAATGCCATCTTCATATAATCCCACTTTCGACCGCCAAAAGCTGAAATCAATGTGTGCTCGATTGGCAACGTCGTAAAATCGATTGTTGACGTGACCTCCGTTTCCATAGCAAAACTCAGAGATACCCTCCAGTTCCTCTGTTATCTTGTTTGCGCAGGCATGAATGTCTTGTGGGATACCGCTGTACTGCTGTGTCGGCATCGTGTACTGCAGTAAACGACTAGTGAACGACTGATGGTGTGTGCTTCCAGGCAATTTCTCTTCGAGTTGTTGCTTCCTGGCCTGTCGGACTCCACTCAAACTAGATATTTCGGGGATTAAATATCTTTGCAGCAGCGACCGTGACGACTGGAGTGCACCCTATTCCTGTAAACGTTGTCGTCCAGCAGTTGCAAGGGCTCCGTAGGGCGGGACTGATTCGATTCGGGTTGCTGGAGCTGTGTCAAATGTCGGACTGGAGGGCGAAACTGTCAAACCGTTCGAAGATAAGTAGCTACTTGTCTGAAAGTTGTAGCATCTCGGTTCAAATTGGCTGCTTTGGTGACTTGGAGACAGTCGGCCTGCGCATACCGTCATTGTTAGCCCAGCGATCTGCTTTCAAGAGGATCACTCACTGCGGCCCATCATGAATTCGGAGAACAACATGACCTCTCTCTGAGTACGCTAATTCGTCGTCGTTGTGAAGACAAGTCGGGATGAAATGAGGAAGAAACGAAGACGTGGCCCTTTGAAGCTTCCGTTCGTGTCGACGAGGTACCGAATTATTTCTCTTTCCTCCCTAGCGCACGAGCCACATTCCAACTAGCGTCCACGCCACAGCCGCCACACCAAACCCAAACCTCTCCTTCGCGCCAACCCAAACCAACCAAACCCAAAACACACCTTCAACTCAATCGCCGCACATACATTCCGCAGCCTCAACACCACAAACCAGCACCTCGACCCCATACATTTTCGAAACCCACCTAACCTCCTCCTCCGCCGCTTCGCCCCGGCAAACCGACACGAGTCACCACACGATACACAGTTAGAAAGGAAGGGACACATAACACAACCGCAACCATGAAGGAAATGGGAAGTATCGGTATTCCTATCACGTTGTTGAACGATGCTCAGGTAGGCAATTCCCGGTGACTCTTTCTCGACGGCTACGCTGTCGCATGTGGGAGAGGGGTCTTGAGGGAGAATGGGACTGACGAATTGTGCATAGGGTCATATCTGCACGCTTGAGCTCACGTCTGGGCAAGTTTTTCGTGGGAAGTTGATTGAAGGTAACATTCCCCATGCCTTTGCTATGTTTGGGACCTACCTCGATCTCGACTTCGATACCGGTTCCCTCGTATTCATCGCCGCATTTGCAATCATGGCACGTCTTCACCAGCTACGCAATTCGCCTCAATTCTCGACTCTCCTCGTCTCAATCGCTTGTGGGCTGGAAGATTTGATCTTTGCCCTCGACAACGAATTGTAACTCGACGCGATGGAGAGGACCGGTATCGGAGTGGATGGAAGAGAGGGAGGAGAACAGAATGCTGGACAAATGCTGACTGGTTTTGTGTGATTAGTGGAGGATAACATGAACGTTCAACTGAAAGACGTCACCTGCACCGCCCGTGATGGTCGCGTAAGTCATTTGGAGCAGGTCTACATCCGTGGCAGTCATGTGAGATTCTTCATTGTTCCTGATATGTTGAGGTATGCTATATCCCCCCTTTGTTTCAGAGTGAGACGGTACGGTGGCGGCTGGTTCTGGTGTGAGTTGTAAAGTGGAGGCCTAAGGCGTGGGGTGACAATGGCGGATGGCAACTCTTGGAGCCAGTGCAGCAGTAAAGGAAGAAGAAGCTAACAGTTTGTGCTACAGAAACGGTCCAATGTTCCGAACTCGCGCTATGAAGGGTCGTGGTGTAGGATTGGCCAGAGGCAGGGCCACCGTCAACAGGGCTAGGGGACAACAGCGTGGTGGTGGACGATAAATCTGGGTTTATACAAAGCAATCGTTGTTTGGTGATGGGGGGAAAGGTTAATTTGCATGGCGAATTTTATACTTAATTGTCGAATTCTACATCTCGTCTGGTAGAAGCGGGAGGCGTGATGAGCGTTGGATTTGTGAATACCTGGTGTTTCTGTTTTCGGCCATGATTCCTCGTTCTTTAGCATTGCGAGATTGACTCTCTTCCCAAGTAGCTCACTGGCCTGAGTTTCTCAGGATTGCAACTTGATAGCGATAGCTTGGTGAGAATGAGCTGACTAGTCCTGGGAGCAGCCAGGCCCCGGCGAGTCGAAGAGCAATCGAAAAATTATTTCCATTCCAAATTATCAACCAATACGAATAACCCGCGCAATTGACCAACAGCCACAATCACAGCTCGTCTTCTACCACAGCGCAAAACCGCACATCCATCGGACCCATTCCAAACTCACAGCCATACCAAAAGAACAAGCCAAACAAGATTCCCGTACAAAAAGTGATAAGGAGAGATAGTAAGACCTAGGAAACCGTGATCCCATAATAAACCGTAACCAGAAGAAAGAAGAAGAGAAGAAAAAGAAAAAGAAAAATAAGACAAGACATAAGTGTCGAGACAATGGTTTAGAGTAGCAACACACATCAAGAAACGAAGAGCAAAATCTGCAAAAAAGACAAAGCAGGCAAGCAAGCAAGCAAGCAACTAAAGAGGAGGGGATAAACGATACACCAAGCCAGCACGATTTAAAGACGACCACAAAAGAGAAGCAGACAAAACCCCAGATAAAACCCACACCAACAACGTCAATACTCATACCACAGCAACGACAAAAAGAAAAGATAAAAAAAAGAGAGAGAGAGAAAGCCATCATCATTCAAAACGTCTGACTCCTCCCAAGGCCGAAGCCCTTATCATCATCACTCTCCCACCCCTCATTCCTCGCCGCACTAACCCTCTCGACACTCCCATCACTCCCCCTCCTCCCCCTCTCTGCCAAGCCCACAATCCCCCCTTCCTCCAGCGTCTCCAGCTCCTCCTTCCGACTCTTCCCCAGCAGGAAACGCCGGCCCTTGCTGCCCCAGCGTTTCCTAACCCCCCGCTTGACAGGTTCAACAGCATCAGGCAATCCCTAATCCACCTTTGCATCTGCCAGTTTGAGGCCCGGGAGGTTGTTGGAGAGACGGACGTTAACCTCGCCGCGGAGGGACGAGTGTGCGAAGCCTTCGCGCCGGGCTTTGGCGTTCTTGTTGTGGTGCTTGAGTTTTTTGCGGG